CAAACGAAAAGCATTGAACTCAAGGCGTGTCTCACACGAAGCGTAAGCAGGCACTACATTAGGCTCATATGCAGAGGCTATATTGTCCTTGTTTTTGCTAAAAATTCAAAATCTGCTGAGATTTTTGACCCAATGGATGCGATATATTGCATGCCAGTTCGACCCTGTCATTTGAGCTTGACGAATCACCTTAAGTACAGAAGTTGGCGCCATACGCAAGCAGATCCAGGCGGGGAGGCAGAGAGGGCATACATTCCCCCTCCCCCCCGTTTGCTCGGAAAGGAGGAAGAAATAAGGAAGGAAGGAAAAAACAGAGGAAAGAAGAGAGAAGGACGCTTATGATTAGCAATTTATTTATGGCAAAATTTACTCTAACTGTATATTCGATACTTAAAAATTTCCAACATTTTCTGGGGGAGCCCTCCTGACACCCCCCACCCCACCCTTGCGCTCCCCCTCGTTCGAAGTGTCTGGACCCGCCTATGGCGCCACAAGTCCCTAACTAATTGTCTGCTCTGAATCAAGGACTGACCGATCTTCAGCGGTAGCCGTTGTGCTCATGGTGCTCCTCATTAGCTGTACCTAAGGTAGCATACCCTAAAAAATGCAAATTAGCAGGAGGTAGCATTTGGCCGAAATTCTTCTTTACCCAAAGGACTTTGTTATGTTCAACAGTACTTCTCAGGTTTTAATCACGAACCTGAGCTACTCGTAGCCTGAAAAGTTTCAGCCATTTCTCTTCAAATAAAAAGAAAAAGAAAAATTTAATTTCCTTTCCTTTCCCCTTAAGTTTTTTGACTGAATATTTGGACAAGAGCAACTCATTACCTGATTTATGAATATTTGATGATGGAGCCAATTAAAAATATCTGTTCTGTTGTTTCAGGGTTCTGTTTGTGCTAACAAGTGCCCCCCAGAGAAGTGGGGTGACAAGTGCAGTCAAACTTGCAATTGTTTCAATTCAGCCAATTGTAATCATGTCGATGGAAAATGCGAATGTCTGCCAGGCTTCACCGGCCTAAAAGTAGGTTCTTACACTTTGGCAATGAAAATTAACAGAAGTTTAAAGTTAAATGAGTGGAATTGGGAGGAATAAATCATCTATAAACAAAGCAATATTTATCGCGTAACAAACAAAGAAATTTAGGAAATATCATAAAACTCAGTCTCGAACAAGGCGTTGGGTGGAAGAATAGTTCCTCTTGAATGCGGTATCTCAGAATCCCCACTTGTATTTCATTTGTTGCAAGGAAAGTAAATGTATGCATTTCATTGAAATTTTTAAGATGTATTTCTTATGATTCTACAATTATAGGTATAAAACTTGCCCTTTGAACTATTCTTCAAGACATAATTTAGCAACGGAGAATCTTAAATACTGCAACCAAAAAGTGCTCCTCATTCACTCAGCGCCTCAAATACAGTATTTACAAGTTTTGCTACACGGAGTTACCATTATTAGAGAGGTTTCCTGACTATCATTCACCATAATGATCGAAGTATACATGGTCAGCTTGTCAATGAAAGCATGGATGTTGATCAGCTTTTTTTGAAGCTGGAATGACATTTTTCCCTCCTTTTAGTTTTTCCACATGTACCTTGCGTGGACAAAGAGATCCTTGTGATGAAAATTTTTTAACGGGAACGTTGCTTGTTACGTTGAGGTGCAAAATCAGATTCATCAAAATTAGCTGCTATCAGTGATGAAAATAAAATGACACATCACTTAACGATAGTAACTATTTCATCCAATAGAAATTTATCATTATTTTTGTTACTGTACCGTTAATCATCCTCTTTCAAAATTTTTCAGTGCACGGATCCATGCCCAAAGGGAATGTACGGGTTAAATTGCGATTTGAAGTGCATGTGCAACGATGGTGCAATCTGTCTTGCAAGCAACGGGTCTTGTGTCTGTAATCCAGGATGGAAAGGTCAGAACTGCACTGAGCGAATCTGCCGTGATGGACTTTACGGCGAGAAGTGCGACAAAATTTGCGATTGCCAAACAGAGAGCACTAAATTGTAAGTTTGAAGTCTCTTCATGAGTTGTAGTTACTGCAAATTTAAAGCAGAAAGAAAGTATTTGTATCTCTCGTCTTATTTTAGGCTGTAGTTCTGTGTCCGATAGTTAAATCATGAGAATTGTGAAACACCTACGCTAATGTTTCCTGCTGTTTCACCTTGTTGTAATCGGAGCGGGTACAAACATTTTCTGAAGTGTTAGCCTTCAATGTAATGATTTTAAGTAAGTAATGTAAAGGAAGTGTATCATCCCTAGGATGGCTGGTAAAAATAATCTGTAAAACAGTGTTGACATGCCAGTTATACCGTTTAATTTGTCGTCTCCTAGACAAAAGGATGGATTTAAATTTCAACGCTGTAAAATTCCCACTTAAAAACTGACAGACGTTTTCAATAAAAAATCTCACCAATTTTTCTTCAGATTGTATATGCAAGAATCAGCAAAATTTGAAACACAAAAGGCACATGGCACATTTGTACTTGTGTAAAAAATCGAGTTAGTTTGGTTAATTTTGCAACCTCAGAATGGAGTATGTTTCTCCAAAGAGGAAATTCCGAATTATCTACTGATCTCACCTGATATCAGTAGAAAATTTAGCTAATGCCAGTTGAGATTAGGACAAAATTTGACAGTTTCAATGGCAAGTAGAAGTGTACAGTGATTTTGAATTCGATATTTTTATGTATGTTTTTCTGTCCTCAGGTGTGATCCTTGGTCGGGTCAGTGTATTTGCAAGGCTGGTTGGGATGGACCGACATGTTCCCGTCCATGTCCCCTCTACCAGTGGGGCGAAGGCTGCGCGAAACAATACTCTTGCAAGAATAGCGCTGAGTGTTTGCCCAACAATGGAACTTGTGTCTGCGCCCCAGGTACAGTATCATTCGTAAATAAGCCGATTAAAGTCTTGAAAGAACAATTCATCGGATAATGTGGGCTGATTCTTGGGTTTGCTGATTACTTCAGCTTAATGTTAATAACAGATGGTTGATAAGATAGTTCATCCTATTTTTTTAACAATAAAGTAACTATAAGTAGACCAAAAAATTAGGTATACAGGATAGTTTTCCAATTTATTCACATGCAACTTAAATTCTGTGCTTGCGTTTTTGGAATGGATATGGATAGGAATTTTGGAATTTCTAGACCATCAGCTTGCAAAATTTAAAAAGGTGCACAATCTTAGTCAACACTGTAGTTTGCTTAGGTCTGTTTCACTACTCAGTTTTAATCTCAAATAAAAGTACAAGCTAATGACACTGTTTCCTATAATCTGGATTAAAAAAAGACATTTATCAATTCAGTTTAAAGTCCAAAATTTTTCAGCTTAATATTTAAGGCTCATTCATTGTTCTACAAATCATTGGTTCCTTCATAAAATATTTTTCTTTTCCTAGTTGCGCTGTTGAAATGCTCTCAAGTAGCTTCATGAATCCTATATGTTTATTTTTCTCAGGTTATCTGGGCACCAACTGCGAGAAAACTTGCCCCGATGGATATTACGGTGACAAATGCAAGCAGGCTTGTGAGTGTAAGAATGCTAAACAGTGCGCCCCCGAGACTGGACAATGCATTTGTATAAACCAGGTGAGAAGCAGTAGAGAACTGTTTCAACTTCTTTACTCTTAACCTCTATGATTTTAGTGTAGGGCACTCAAAGAAAATTTAGGTGCATAGTATTACTTAGTCACTTGGCTCTTAGTCTCTTCTATACCTGTAATATCTCAAAGAATGTTAAGAGGGAAAAAAAAAAATGAAAAATGTAGAATGATTTTAGGCCTCTGGCATCTCAAGATCTAATACTCAAGGTTCATCGATCAAGGTCTCCCCGGCAGTTTGGAAAACTTGCAGGCTAATGATTGAAACTGATAGACAAACTGGTAGTCAGTGAAGATGAAGGGAACATAAAGCGATGCTATTGATTTACACAGGTTGTTTTCATAGACTAAGTGGGAAAAAATGGACTAACTGTAGGGTCTCTCGTCAGTTGCCGTTAGTTAGCCTATTACTTACACCCTCTGTCCATTGTATCCACTGTTTCCACCAATAGGATCGCTCAATTTCCTCTCTGTCCTCTTTGTCTATGAATTTCAGTAATCAGCCACTGGAAAGGCAGGAAATTCGCAGTGAGCTAGAATAGTTAGGGAACATCAGGGAATTCGTAGGCAAAAAAATTAGGGGATTTTGGGAATAGTGTGTCAACCAAGCAAATTCAGCCAGTGATTTTAGAGAAAGCGTGAACAACTCCCTTTTTCCGTAAATTTGGACTTGCAAAAGTGGAAATTTTGTCTGATGTTTAGCAGAAGTCAGCATGATGAAAAGAAAAAACATGCAAGTGGAAGATTTGTTCAAAGGGGAGGGAATGACAGAGCATTTTGAAATTTTGAAGCTACCTGTCATTATCATTTTTCTTATCGTAAGTGATTTCTTTCATTTTCAGGTTGGAAAGGTCCAAAGTGCGACAGACCTTGTGATGGCAACTTGTATGGCGATAATTGCAGCAAAAATTGCACCTGTCAGAACGGCATATGCGATCCTGAGACAGGTAAGATTCATTCAAAATTTGCATTCCCATTTACATGAACGATTTAAATGCCTTCCTACTGAGGGGTACAAAAACCTTTTTGTAGAAAAATTTTAAACCTTAACATATTATATTTTCATATATTTATATATCTATTTTTCTAGCCAAAAAAGAAGAGAAAGGTGATGCAACACAGTTGATTTGATTTATTTTAGAACTGCTTCAAAATGATCTCACCAAAACTCCCAGCCCTCAAAAAAAATTTTCTGTAGGAATGTTTCTAGTATTTCTGAATTTTGTGCTTATCCAGAATCTTTCTTGATGTTTTATTTATGGCTTTCAGGAGCTTGTACTTGCAATTCTGGATTCACCGGGAAACTCTGCGACGAAATCTGTCCGCCCGGCACTTATGGTTTTAAGTGCTTGAAAAAATGCAAATGTATATCGGAGTCTTCAGACAGATGTGACCCTGAAACGGGAAGCTGCATATGCAAGGATGGGTGGTATCCCGCCCGGCAAGGATGGTTGCGGGTTCGTTGCCGCAACGTTTTTTTACAATGTTTCT